TCGATATTCCTCTGAAAGTGATTTGCCAGCTGTTGCCAAAATGGCGCATTAATTTCGATAAGGCATGATCCACTAGAGACCGGTAGTTAGATAGATTACATTTACCCAGTCTCAACCGACTCGAGATCCAGATCTTATAATAATGTTATATGCTGTTCTCCAGACTGGTGCCGAGAACACCATAGACAGAGCATGCAAACAACGAGGAAGTTTGAATGAAATTAGAAGCAATAAGACACAATCAGAATGAGTTTAAATTTCTAAGACACACAACGAGAAAAGAAGAATTAGTCAATTTGACACTCAATGGGCAAGAGAGAAACAGTAATTTACCTAATGAATTTGTGTCAAGAGATCGCAGAACAGGGAGTGGCAGGGAGAGTAAAAAGACATACGTTGGTAGCAGGTACATGGCTGACAAAAACTATATGAGAGATTATATCTCATTCAACTGTTAAATGGAATGAACTCTCAGCATAGGCACGAGCCAGTAAAGATATTAGTATCGGATATTTTAGCGTCTTTTGCGGTGAAAAGCATTAATTTGGAAATTCTTGCAAAAGTCAAATAACTGACGGATTTTAATAAAATTTAAGAACTCATTCACGAATGAATTACATTATTTCAGAAAAGTTTCTTTTTTAGAAAATATTGGTGATTTCTTTTCTTTTACATGTTATTCACAGATTTTTTTTTTAATTTTTGTAGAGATTAAAGTTTATATTAGTTATAAGTACAAGTCCTTGGAGAATTTGACATTATTCAGAGAGAGTAAAAAGACAAACGTTAGTATCAGGTACAAATTGTAGGAAGTTGTGGAGAACTATGATCGTCCACTACTCTGAATAAATTTGGGCCCCTAATAAACATAACACTAGGCATACAAGACCGCTTTTGATCACATTGCGAAAGCTATCATTACGGAAAGCACGATACTGAAATCCGAAACCGCATTGAAATAGCGAAAGATACATTCCAAACGCTAAGCAAAGTATTAAGAAACAGAAATATTTCGTTAGAAAAAAAAGAGTACTGATTTATTATACAATATCAGTCCTCCTATATGACAATGAATGTTGGATAATCTCCCCTCAGATAAGGAAGAGACTTGAAGCAACATAATTGTGGTTATACAAAAGGATGTTGAGAAGAACTTGGACTAAATATATGAGCAACGACGAAGTATACTTAACATCAGAAAGAGACAGTTGAAATTTCTTGGGCACATGATTAGGAAAGAGAACTTGGAAAATTTGATACTCACAGGACAGATTGAAGGCAAGAGGGACAAGGGTTAACAAAAGAAAACATCGCATGACTTACCAGGCGAGCTTGAGTGAATGGATGGCGGAACAAGGTTTGGGAGAGAGATAGCAAAAAGACAAACTTTATTAAGAGCTACAAGGACAGGAAATTATCGAGAGCCATGATAGCTGAAGGGACAAAGCACATAAAAATGAAAATTATATCACCGTGAATTTTTCTTAACTAGAATTTTTCGCAACACGCGAAACTACAAACTCTACGTTTCGTTCAATTTCGCAAACCAATTGGTAAAAGTTGAAGAAACTGATTTGTTTGGGAAAATACTTTGACAAAAACCATACTTCGATGTTTAATAATTTCTTTAAATTAATTTTTTGGACTTCATGGTAAACAATATTTTTTAAGAAAATTTCTTTTTTTCCTTTTTAACAGTGAAGAATAAATTCTTAGGATTTCTTACTCTTGAGCATGCAACATACAAATGACTAGGCGTAAATATTTCTGGAGCGAAATTCCAACTTTTTGAAGCGTTTGGCCTTGTGATTTGTTTATAGTTCTCGCAAATGTAGGTCGAACTGAAAACTGGATTCTTGATAGAAAAATAATATTTGCAAAGTTACGAAAACACCTAAAATGTTGTCAAAATCTAGTTGTTTTCGCTCGGAAACAACTTATTTCAAGTAGTTTAGGAAGCTTACGTAAAGTTATATTTTAAAAAAAAAGTAATACTACACTTTGTACCTTCTTAGCTGTTTGCCCTCCTCCCCAAAATTTCGATCAGTCAATATATGGCTATTTTAGAGGATGTGACAGACGGACATAATAACGGAAGTCTCAAAATTTTATATATAGATAGATTGTCAAAGTTGGCAACATTTTGATATTGATTTTGACATTGGCGATCGAGAAAAATAAGTTTGCGTACTATCATTTACACTTTACATATTTCTCTTAACGAATGAAAAAATTCAATACTCTGGAAGAATGCAAAAGGCTCAGAGAGCATTTTTTTTTTTCTGGGAAATATAAAAATATTCTTAGAAGACCGAATTATGAAATTGCCTGAAAAGTGACAGAAGATAGTAGAACAAAACAGTAAATATATCTTCTAAATAAATAAACAGGAAAATTCTATCTGTCCGTCCGTGTGTCTGAAACTCCTCTAACTCGGACCACACTTGTTCTATATAAACATATACCTTTTTGGAATCGGGATGATCCCGGGATTGAAAATCTGGTGCTTAAATATCCAGCATTTGAATATGTATCCAGATGAGTAGGGAACAGTTAAAAATTTAAATTTCAAAATAACTGAAAAAAAATTAGTTATTTTAAAGGGTTTTAATTTAAAGTAACACAAAAAATTCGGGAATTTAAAAATTTTCATTTTAAATCCAGTTTAAAATATCTCCAAAATTTTGTGAATTGAGGAAATCAATTTTATTTCTTCAAAATGCCAAGGAATCAGAGTTAAAATGAGAGGTTTCGTGGCGTGTGGTTTTGAAGTTCCACAGAGTTTGTGATTTGAAGAACTCAGTTTTTGGCCTGAATTGGAATTTCAGCCCCAATCGGTCTTTTGGACAGAGTTGGACTTATAACCCGAATCAGAATTAAAGTGGGCTTTTGAAATTCCATGGAGTGAATTGAGGAATTTAAAGTAATTTCTACAAAATTATTATTGCTGTTTTCTAAGCTGGGCCAGAGACCCAATTAGTCCTCCACATGAGCTAGTTTAAAAGTCCGCACGTTAAGTTAAGCTAATATTCAATAAAGTTATTGTGAAAAAAACTGCTTTTTATTTTTATGTTGTAGGCTGAGTTATAAATAAATTTCAGGACACAGGTAATTATGACTTTCGACAGCTTTCTTTTCTTTGAATATGTGTAAACTGTGCATTGCCATGATTGCTATTGAGAAAGAAAATGTTGTTTCCCTCCCGTTGGCTTCTTCAAGGTTTTGAATTACTAGTTGCCCTCCCAAGGCTAAAGAACCCGGTTCACCTTACTATTTTACTCGTTTGGAATGTAGGGAAGATATAAATTCATGCCATTCTCATGGTCTTAGTCCAAAGTGAACGCATACTGCCTTAGCCAGAATTCGAAATCGGTTCACCGATTCCATTTTATGCACTGTTAACTTTAATCTACTAGTATATTCCACCCTCTTCTAATAATAATGTCACAATAACAATGTTCTTCACTGGTGGCGAAAACCCTGAAATATTTCAGTTCCAGGGACATGATTGCAAAAAGGTGGAAAACTTACAAATACAATCATTTTGAAGAAACAAATTACTAGGAGTCTTTCAATGAACACGTCGTTTCTTGAAATTGATATTTATGGTTCGAGCCTCGGCTGATGTGAGTTTGTCTTTTAGACTCGACGCATACTGTAGCCTGTTTATTCTCTTTCTTTCTTTTTATGTGTCATGTCCTTTCAGGACTTAGGTCATCATAACTCTTCACCTCCCTCTATCCCTTACAGCTCTCAACAAGTTCCTTCCCTCTGCTTCCTCCCCCAGACCACGTTCTGTCATCCACTTAAGGGTTTCAGGTATGTCACGCATTGTTTTCCCTTGTCTCTTTTCCCTCTATTCGACACCTGAGATCAGATTCTCCAGGCTTCAGCTGCCTCTTCCTGAATTAGTATAAGCCTCCCCTTGTTTAAACCTCAATATCATCGTTGCTCACGTGCTCGGTAAATGACATACCTTAGCATCCTTCTGTAGAACCACATCTCTGTCGCCTCGAGTCTCTTCTTCATTATATTGGTGAAATCGTCCAACATTCGATACCTTAAAGAAGGACAGATATCACGCAACAGTTCAGTATTCTTTTCTTGCAAACCAAAGATATCCTCTTGCCTCGCATAATTTTGCCCAGCTTTTGGAATGTGTAAATAATGCCATCCCTTTTACGCCTATGGATCTCAATGTCATCTTACTTTCGAATTTTTCAATACGCTTCCCAGGTATTTAAACTTCCGCGTAAAAATGATTCTAGTGTTCCCGACCCCCAGATCACGTTTGGGCCCATCCTCTACATTTGACGACCATGCATTCTTTCTTTTCTTTTTTTTTTTGTATGTCCACTTTGATTTTTCATTTAATATCCGATTTAGTAATATGATAGGTATTACTACTCTTTTGTAACAAACCTATCAGATACTCCGTCACATAGCGATTATACGTTCAACTCTAGATTGCATTGAAAAAATCATGTATCTTTCTTTTTAGACACTTTTATTTATTTTCAAAATAAACATGTATTTTTCTGTTTTTACTTTTATTTCTTCCAGGGTAACTGGTGGTAGCCTTCGCGTACTACATTGCATAATATATTTTTTATTTCTATTTCACTTTCTAATGCTGCAATAACGGTGTCCTCAAACCGTTCAATATTTTCTGGTATCTATTTTGATAAAACCATCAGCCTGATGTGAGCTTGTCTTTAGAAAAAAAAAAAACATTCCTGTCTATTCATGTGTTCCATTTAGTGATTTTTCAATTTAGCGATTATTAATTTTTTTTTCCGACTGCATGTACGATACTCTGTCTTTCCTTCTACCAGATATCGGCTGAGGAAAGATCATGTTCCTACAATGGCCCGGCCAGCTGGCGCAGCCGTAATACAGAAATAATACACGTTTCACCCACCAAAAATTGGCCGTTGACAAGGAGACGGCAGCTGTCGCACTTTTGGAAAGAGTGTTGCATACTGCTTCCACTTGAAGGCTTACGGCCATATCACGTTGAAACACAAGTTCTCGCACGATCGACGAACTAAAGCAATGTCGAGTCTGGTCAGTACCTAGATGGGTAACCGCATGGGAATACCAGGTGCTATAATCTTGGATGTATGGGTGGTGTAATGCTTAACAGCTCGGAAATGGAAATCGAAAAGTCAAGTTCCAATTCCGGTTGACATGCGCGCAAATACCTTTGGGAAAGTCTACCACCTTATCTCCCCGCCCCAGATATAGTTCAATAAGTAGGTTTTGTATCAGTAAATATTTATTATCTCGAAAAAATTTCTTACAATCTAAAAATATTTTCTGGTTTTAAGTAACCTGCAAAAGGTTGATAAGCCGAAAAAACCAAACAATCTGTTTTGTAGAAAGATTGGCTTACTTTCTCTGCATTTATTGAAACGTGAATCATCCATGCGCTATAAGGGGAACGTCTGATCATGGAACTTTTTTACAAAAGTGGGTCCCCAAACTTTCTGATAAGTTCTTTTCCAACCCTTGGCTCACTGAACTACTTTATTCTCAATCCACGTTCTCATGTGATTACGCCTTTCTTCGATCAACCTTTTGCTCCCAATGTTTCCTTAGAGTCTTACTAACCAGCTCTAGGAGCGTTATGCAAATTTTATAACACAATCAAATCCACTTGAAACACGACAATAAACTGTGTGGGTCATCTGGTATTGGTATATATATATATATATATTAATAGGGTCCATCTAGCAAAAACATTGGTTTTTTTCTTTGCTGCCTTACGTTATATATATATATGCAAACATGGAACAGGTTACGGAAGTAAATTCAGACATAAATGTATGTATATATATATATATATATATATTTCCCTGAATATATATATATATGTATATATATATATATATATATATATATATATATATATATATATATATATATATATATATAAATGTATATATATATATATATATTTGTGTATATATATATATATATATAGGTTATATATATGGTATATATATATGTATATATATATATATATCTGCTCCCCCATATATATATATATAGTTTATATATATAGTATACAATACAGGATGTATGTGTGTTTGTAACTCTGGAAGCTGAGAGAGAGCAATATTGGGTCATATATTCCATATTTCGTTTGTTTCACCTGCAGAAGAATATGTAATGGTCACTGTTAAACCCCTCCATATGCTGTTCACCCTAAGGACTATATTTTGATAACCGGGTGCTATTATATATATATGCATGATATATATATATATATATATCAGATCTCAAAATATTTATATATATATAAATATATATATATATATATATATATATATATATATATATATTTATATATATATATATATATGTATGTACTGTATGATTGAGCTTTTTATTTAATTTTTCTTGTGTTCTGACAAGAGCTTTCTTTTCTGGACAAAGAGTGTAAGAACTGTCCAGATGTTCTGTGTTTCCGAGCGCTTTCGGCTATATCTTTAGCCATTATCAAGGATGGTTCAATTATCAGCTTAGTAGAGTGTGTGTGTTATGTATGTTCAGTGTGTGGTAGTGATGTTTTAGTTTCCGAATACGGTTAGCACATTGTGGCTTTGTTCATAGTTGATATTGTTAAGAGTTGGCTTTTTTTTTTATTATTAGAGCTTCCATTATTTTTAGTCTTTTTTTGCAAGTAGATGCAGTTAATATATTAGTGTTTTCTACTAGTATGTTCCTAATAGTGTCAGGTAAATCTGAGTGTGTGTTTAAATGTGTTCTGATGGAACTGTGATCAGATAGGTGTAATGTAAGACGTCTGGATAAACATGTGGTTGTGTAGCCGATGTAATTATTTATGAGTCCAGTTTGGTGAGGAACGCAGTTCCTTAAAGGGCATTGAACTCATAGATAATGTTCGCTCTTTGTAATTTTGACTTCGTTGGTGTGTTGTTATTTTGAGGATAAGGTTGGCCGTCTTAAATTTTTATAATAGATAATAAGTTTGATTTTTTTATCGGGTCAATAGGAGTAGTATATTTCTTTATAATATGTCTTAGAGCAGATTCATCTTGTTTTGTAATTAATATGCATTTGGTTTTTGTAATAAATGTGTATGTGATTTTTAGTTGTGTGTTCGCTATCATTATTACTTGCTTTGGGGAGGAATATTCTAATTTGTTGGTCTATAAGGTAGTTAGGGAAACCGTGGTTAATTAGTGTTTGTTTAACGTTGTTAAGTTCTTTGAGAAAGAGTAGATATCTTAGATATCCTCGTTGAACATAACAATAACACTTTCATTACATCATTATACAAAAAACCCACCAGCAAAAACTCGTGCCACCTTAATTTCAAAAGCGAATGTCCACTTAGGTACAAAATAGCTGTAATAAAAAACTTTCTAAATAGAGCCCACCAGAACTCATCCTCTCGACTACTCTTTCTCAAAGAACTTAACAACTATGAGTAAAATTGAATTGACGGAACACTTGGGGCCGTCGATAGCTGTGCTGTGCTAACGCGATGTCACAAGTCATCGTGACCGAGTGTTTGAGCGTGCTGGTGTTGTTCAGATTGTAAAATCATGCTAGATAACACGCTCTTTCCCAGAAACTGTAACTAAGGTCTGCTCAGCATAGATGCAGTATAAACCACAGATTGGCTCTGTGGGTGTTGAGCAAACACAAATGTGTCTGAGCGAGAGTCTGCCATAGGGATCGGCTAGCCGCCCTAATAGGACGTTATCCTCGAATACGAGTGGCCAGCTATTATAAATATATATATATATATATATATATATATATATATATATATATATATATATATGTCTGTCTGTCTGTGCGTGTGTGTGTTATTTCAAATGTTATTTTTAGTGGATACCTATGTTTGAAATCGGAGTTTCTTTTAAACATTGTATTATGTACACCGGCCTGCGTACTGGAGAAAATTAATAAAGAAGGTGTGCTCCCCGGTATGGTTCGAATTTGCGCCCCACTTTGTAGGAAAAATCACCATTTGATCCGGTGTGCTTTGGAGGAATTCGGTCACAAAGAGCTCCACTGCTCATCAAAGTTCTTTTTATCCTTTTAAGGAATGCATGCTTCCTCAGTCAGTCATTTCTGGAAATCCCATATCTGTTCATTTTTGAGTTATGCTTATCATAGAATAGCCATTGCGTAGGGTAATTGTTACTAGTTCATTATTACCACTGGTTAGTGGTTTCGGTACCCATTAGGTATTCTCTTCAAAACTCAAGATTATACACTCCGAAAATGGTTGACATGTTGTAAAATGAACCAAAAATTTTTCTTTGACTTATTACCCTACCAAAGTTAAAGATACAATTTTGCATATTTAACACAAAAAATGGATTCATACCTTTTTCAAGGATAAGTGAACGAAATCGACTAGGCTGGAAATTCAACTTGGTACACTAGTTCTACTTTCCACGTCGATAAGCCTTATGTTACCTGCACATCCAATACAATATAGATACGTCAAAGTCTATCTAAAACAAGACTAATAAAGTTAGTTTCATGCAGTACAAGGCCACACTTAATGGACACCTAATGAAGGTTGAACTTGCACTAATAATTTAGTCTGCAGAATGAAAAAGATAACCATCGCTCTAAAAATATTGCTATGTACTAGTTAGATTGGTAACCATTGCTCTACAATAAGGCTCTCAAATATGATTATTTTAAACCCAAAGCACCAATATCTTTGTCCGAATAATACACAACCTCTCATCTAAGATCGATTTCTTCTTATCTGTACATAAAAATATACACCCAAGACATCTTTTTTTAGTCGGTATGCCCCCATGGACGAATGGTAGACTTATAGATATGTAAGATAGATTCCAGAGAGAATTGTCTCGCACGACAGAGTGGACCAACCTTCTTAGCGGTTGACCTAGCAATGGATAGTCTTTCCACTTCATGTCAGCCGAGATGGTTAGCCCGAGAAGATGCAAAGAGTCACTTTCCTGGAAGTTAGCATCCTTGTCGGACTGATCAAGATTACTATCGAGGCAGAAGTAAATAATTGTGTCGTCAGCGTAAATGCCAAGTTAGGAGTTGATGTCATCGGGGGGGTCGTTAATGAAAATTAAAAAACAGCGTAGGACCGAGGATGGAGCCCTGGGGGGTCACCTGCGTTAATACGAAGGATCTAGAAGAACGACAGTTCAGGATAACTTTATCGAGAGCATCGCTAAATGTTCAAACCTTTTAAAAACAGAAGTCACCTATTATAAATTTTATTGAGGGCAAATTATGACCAATTTCATTTTGCCGAAATGCTTTCGGGAAAAGCATGAATTCAACCCCATCAGCTATGGGTTAAATAGTAGAGTAGACTTATCTTGCTAACCTCTAGGAGGGATGACTACTCTAAATTCAAAACAGAATCGTTGCGATAAAATGAGAAGATTAATCCGAATATAAATAATAATCATTCCTCATCACAGAAAATCAAACAAATTTCAAATTTTTTGACTATTTCTTTTTCATCCTATTTTGTTACTTTTTATTGCAGCTCGCGGTTTTTCCTTGTCGTTCCACGGCGATCAAATAAGCTTCATGGTTCGAAAATAAAGATTAAATCTTGCGGCGAGAATTGAACTCGCATCGCTTGCCCTTTTAAGTTTATCCCCTCTTTCCGATCATGCGTGGATGTGCGAGTAATGGTAATGGGTAACGGAATGAGGAATCAGAGAACCGGGTTAGAATTCCAGTACGGTTCGATGCAAACCCTAATAATCTATCTTTTCCCCCCAGTAGTTAAAAATAATGGGACTTGTATCTAGAAAAATAAGTCTTAGTGTAAAAAAAAAAAAGAAAAAAAAGTGTTACTGCAGTGTTCACTCGCAAAAAGAATTGTTTTTATAATCCAAAGTATGTTTCGGCTTTAAATAACTCACAGAGGGTTGATAAGCCATAAAAAGCCATTCAAATCGATATTCATGCTGTTTTTGCACTTGTAACGGGTGTTAAGTAAGATAAAAAATTAACTATAAGTTGGAAAATGGAAGCAAAACTTGACAGAAATGATTACTAAGTAATGCTTCCTTCATCTACGAAATGCAGACAACTGTTAGAAAAGTGTTAGTTATATA